AAGAAATAGAAGTTATCAATAACCTGAAAAAAATTCTCTAAGTCACTAAAAATTAGAGAAATGAAAATTAAAACAACATTTAGGTTCCATTTCACTTTCATCAGACTGGCAAAGATGACAGAAGAGGAAAATATTGGAAATATTAGAAAAGCTATGGAAAAACAAGTGATCTATTGCACAGTTGGTAGAGCTGTGAATTGGACCAGCCATTCTGGAAAGCAATTTGGACCTAATGCTAAGAAGTTACTAAGCTGTGCAAACCCTTTGAGCCAGCCATACTACTCACTATCTGACAAAAATTTCTGGGAAAACTGGAAAACAGTTTGGCAGAAACTAAGTATAAACCAACATCTCATATGGTCAAAATGGGTACATAATTGAGATGTAAAAGGTGATATGAGAAATTAGGGAAGCATGGAATAGTTTACCTATCAGATGTATGGATAAAGGAAGAATTTATGACCAAACAAGAGATAGAGGGGATTACGGGAAGTAAAATAGATAATTTTGATTACATGAAATTAAAAAGCTTTTACACAAACAAAACTAATGCAGCCAGAATAACAAGGAAAACAAGAAACTGGAAAGGTTTTTATAGCAAATTTCTCTGATAAAAGGCGCATTTCTCAAATACATAGAGAATTGAATCAGATTTATAAGAATATGAGTCTTTTCCCAGTTAATAAATGATCAGAGGATATGAACAGGCAGTTTTCAGAAGAAATCAAAGCTAAAGCCATATGAAAAATATTCTAAATCAATCTTGATCAGAGAAAGCAAATTATAACAATTCTGAGGTACCATTTCACATCTATTATGTTGATTAATGTGACAGAAAAGGAAAATGACAAGTATTGAAGGGGATGTGGAAAAATTGGGACACTAATGTACTTTTGGTAGAGTTGTGAACTGATCCAACTATTCTGGAAAGCAATTTGGAACTGTGCCCAAGGGATATAGAACTATGCATACCCTTTGAACTTGCAATACCACTACTAGGTGTGTATCCCAAAGAGATTTTAAAAAAATAATAATAAAAAGGAAAAGGACCTGAATGTACAAAAATATTTATAGCAACTCTTTTTGTGGTGACAAAGAATTGGAAATTGAGGGGATGCCCATCAATTGGGGAATGGCTAAACAAATTGTGGTACATGGTTGTGATGGAATATTATTGAGCTATAAGAATGATGAGCAAGATGGTTTCAGAAAAACCTGGAAAGTCTTACATGAACTGATGCAAAATGAAGTGAACAGAACCAGCAGAACATTGTACAAAGTAATAGCAATATTATACAATGATCAACTATGAATGACTTAGCTATTCTCAGCAAATACAATGATTAAAGACAATTCCAAAAGACCTATATTGAAAAATGCTATCCACCTCCAGAGAAAGAACTAATGGAATCTGAATGCAGATCAAAGCATACTTTAAAATTTTTCTTTATTTTTCTAGGGGTTTTTTTTTGGTCTATTTTTCACAGAATGACTTACATGAAAATATGTTTTGCATGGCTGCACTTGTATAATTTACATCAAATTGCTTGCCTTCTCAATGAGGGGGGAGGAGGGGAAGGGAAAGAATTTGGAACTCAGAATTTAAAAAAAAAGTTAAAAACTGTTTTTACATGCAATTGAAAAAAATTTTTTAAAAAATGATGAGCAGAATGTTTTTAGAAAAACCTGGGAAGACTTATATGAACTCATGCAAAGTGAAGTGAGCAGAACCAGAACATTGTACACAGTAACCCCAAGATTGTATGATGATCAGCTATGAATGACTTTACTATTCTGATCAATACAATGATCCAAGATAATTCCAAAGGACCTATGCTGAAAAATGCAATCTACCTCCAGAGGAAAAAACCGATGGAGTCTAAATACAGATTGAAGCATAATTTTTTCACTTTCTTTATTTTTCTTGTTTTTTGTTTTATTTACAACATGGCTAACATGGAAATGTATTTCGCATGATTTCACACGTATAATTGGTGTAACATTTTTTGCCTTCAAAATGGGTAGGAGAGGGGTGGGAGGAAGGGAGAATATTTAGAACTCAAAATTTTTTTTAATAAAAAAAATATTTTAAAGAGAGAGCAGAGTGGGAAAAGAGGCTGGAAACAGAATCTTGTTGAGCCACATTTAGAGGGCAGGAGGAGGATGAAGATTGAAGGAGACAAGAGAAGAAGCAGTTAGAAAAGTAAGAAAGTGTTTTTTTTTCCCATCAAATTGGAGATAACCCTTCCCCTTTCTTCCCTGCCTCCTTGGCCATCCACAGTCCCCCACAACTTTTACTGCCTTAGGGTTATCAACCAGACCAAACTGGCCTCTAACCTGTGGATGGCCAGAGTGGAATAGAGAAGGCTAAAGACAGGAGATTCAGGAATCAAACAGCAATTTAATTTCAAAGTGAGGAAAACAGCTTACAAGCAAAGGCCATCTTCCTAAGAAGTAGGGCTCACCTGTTTATGGCAGGACTAGGGTTTTTAAGTATGAAAACCACAAACGACTGGACCACAACACAAGCGTTCTTGAGTCTTGAGTAAATAGTCTCCAAGTCCACAGCTGGACCACAGCACAGGCATTCTTGGGTCTTGTGTGAACAGTCTCCAAGTTGAGCCTTGTGATTGTTCAGGGGGCACAGAACCAGGGTTAGTGTGTCCAGGAACAGAAGCAAGGCACCTATTTCAGTTCACTGGCAATTACAAGCACAGGGATTGTTAGCATGTCAGAGGGTCTGATTGATCACTTTGACTGCAACGTTAGCTTCCAAGTCAAGGTCCCCTGGAAAGTAGGGAAGTTCCAGCAAATCTGAATAGTTAATATAATCATTACACATATTATATCAATTAATAGGAAAATTATAGATCTCATTAATCTCATTACAACAGGGTGAAGCTGGCTTATTATTGAAACTACTTCCCTGGCCTCAGAATCTAGAGAGGCAATGGTAATGGCCTGGTTTATCTCCTTAATTGTGAAGTCCTATCTACCCCTCACTGTATAACTCATCACAGAACGTACCATTGTATATATAGATATATATGTGTGTATATACATGTACATGTATTTATATATGCATGTGTAGATATGTATATATACACATGTATGTGTACATGTATATATGTATTCACATTAAACTAGCATTATAATAAAGGGATAAATAATGTAGGACCTACACAAAGTTACTGTGTGCTGTAGAGGTGATAGGAATTGAACATGTCCTGTTAAGGTCCTAAAGCCTTCTCTGTTATCTTGTACACATATAAGGAACACAGATCTGCCCTCCGGTAAATAATAGCTAACGTTTATATAGCGCCTACTTTATGCCAGGCACGGTGCTAATGTTAAGTGCTTTATAATGATTATCTCATTTGGTCCTCATAACAACCATGGGAGGTAGGTGCTATTATTATCCCCATTTTACAGATGTGGAAACAGAGAAACAGAGGTTAAGTGACTTGCCCAGGGTTTCACAGCTAGTAAGTGTCTGAGGCTGGGTTTGAATTCAAATCTTCCTGACTCCAGGCTGGGTGCTTTATCTGCTGCACCACCTAGCTATCTAATACATGTTTTGAAATATATACTCATAGCCTGTCATACTAGCACCCAGGCCCTAGTCACACAGAATTGCTGGGACGGGTACCAGGACAGATCACACTGGAAAGCTGAGTACATTTCTACTTGGAATTGTTGGTTGAGGTCATTCACTGATGTCCTAGTTTAGGGTCTGGAAATCAGGGAATTTTCAATTATCAATTATAAACAAATGCAGAAAAGCAAAAAATAACTTTTATGGACAACTTACTAGTTGAGTTGACTCTGGGCAAGTCATTTAACCCCGTTTGCCTCAGTCTCTTCATCTGTAAAATGAGCTGAAGAAGGAAATGCCAAACCACTCCAGTATCTTTGCCAAGAAAATCCCTAATGGAGTCACAAAGAGTCAGAAAGGGCTGAACAATAACACGATGTTAAAGAAAAAAATACTTCAACCTACTGGAAGAAATAAAGAAATCACTTGCCAAGAAATGATAGTGCAGATCACAGCAGACTTTTCAGGGAAGACAGTGAACATTTAAAAAAACTGGAATACAAGTAAAGGCCAAGAATCCACAATTATCATCCACAGAAATTCAGTATCTTTTTTTTTTTAAGTGACAAACATTTAAAAACAAACCAGGATTTGGAAAAGATTACAGTGAGATATATGCACTTCATAAGCATGTTCCCTTTCAACTACAATCAAGTCTCCTAGACAAATAAACAATCCACATTGCATAAAAACCTACAGCAAACAAAATGGAAGAACCCTGAGTATTATATGGACTGGATCGTTACATTTTTCAGGAGAGTGTTTTGAGGGAGCAGAGAGGAAAATCAAAAAGAGGAGAGACAAGGGAAGAAAGTAATTCCAAAGTAAAATTCCTGTTAATGGACAAAGAGGAAGCCTAAAATAAGGTTGTAACATAGTTATTAATATAAAAAGAACTTTATTTGCAGTGTTTTTTAAATTATGTTTTGGTTGATAGCAAAAAGAAGAGAAAGTATGTTTTCTTCCTATTAGAATTATGAAAGATGAGCCTAACACTTGGAACACTGATTAAACTGATTAAATTCTCCAATAAAACAAAAGAGGATCACAGAAATACAGGTTCTAATAATACACTGTTAACACGAATCAAATTTAATCCAGAAATATTTAAACAGATTCAAAATGAAATTTTCTAAAACTTACCATGCTCTACCAAAATCGTAACCAAAAGTGGCACTAATGATATTAGATAAAAGTGAATTCAAACCAGAAAACAGTAAAAGAGGTAAACACTTTGATTTTGTGATGTTTATTTTATTTGCCTTCATTTTAGTCGTTTTTCTTCTCTCTTATATGATCGAGGAGAATATATAAGAAGTCTGGGTACCTTTAACTGGTCATTGTACTGTTTTGGCAGTATGCTTTTTTACATGCTATTTATTTATTTTTCATTTTCTTATTTTAGTTGTTCGAGGTCAGAAGTACATCCTTTGAATATAGTAATATCAGATCCCGCTTTAAAACTACCATGAAAAATTTTGATATTCAAAAGATAATGAGGAATCAGAACCCATCGCTCTGGAACGATTTTCAGCGGTTTGTAGCCATGTGAAATGCTTGTGCTAATAATAGCTAATATTTATATAGTGCTTACGGTGCCAGGAACTGTGCTAAGCACTTTACAATTTTTGTCGCATTTGATCCTCACAATAACTCCATAATAGGTGCTGTTATTATCCCCATTTTGCAAGTGAGGAAATTGGCAAACCAGAGGTTAAATAACTTGCAGGGTTAAGCAGCCAGTAAGTGTTTGAAGCTGTATTTGAAATCAGGTCTTTCTGACTCCAGACCTGGCAGTCTCAGCACTATGGTGTCCCCTAGCCGCCTAGCTTCGCTATACCCTAAAACCAACCCAAGTACTGTAAGACCTGTTGTTTCGAGGTATACGCTTGCTTAGTTAGCTGTACTAATCACCCAGAAATTTGTTATCTCTTGCAGCTTTTTTTCCCACTGTGCAGATTTTGTTTTATGTAAGTTTCTGTCCCTTTTGGGGGGCTCTAACCTGAGTCTGCTGTTGGATTGACTAAAGAGAAGCTGAAAGCTGATAGAACAAAGTATTATTAATATTAGAATTTAGTTGGGATCTTATTAGCAGAGGGACAGAGTCTTGTTCTGTACATTAAAGCTGACATTTCTCCCGTCAGGAAGAAGAGGAGAATGTTGAATGGGGGAAATGAAAAGATATTATTTCATGCAGCAGACGCATTCAACATGCATATAATTTGCAATTTAAATTTTGACTGGAGCTTCCAGTCACTGCGTGAAGCAAAATATGGAAAAGGTTTGTACTATATGTGTAAGTTACGGTGATAAAAATAATAGCTGATATTTGTATAGCACATAAATTTTTACAAAGTGTTTTATGTACATTTTCTTATTTTATCCTCACAACAATCCTGGGAGGTAAGTACCATTATTATTCCTGTATTACAGATAAGAAAACTGAGGCAGAGGTTAAGTGACTTGACCAGAGTCCCACAGGCAGTGAGTGTCTGAAGCTGGATCTGAACTTGGAACTTCTTGACTCCAGACTCAGCACTCTCTCCATTGCTCAACCTAGCTACCTGTCATCACCTACCCTTCAGTGAATTGCTTGGGGCAGTGAGGGTTAAAATGAATTGATTAGGATTACTCTGCCAGTATGTTTCAGAGGCATCACCTGAAAACACATCTTTCTCACTCTGAGGCCAACTCTATCTACTACACCACACTGCTTGTCTAAATAGAAGTTATATTCATATAAACACATGATTATCTTTCCTCTTGTTAGTATTAGCTTTTGTTGTTTGTTCATGTCTGACTCTTTGTGACCCTAGTTGGGGTTTTCTTGGCAAATATACTGGCATTTCCTTGGCATTTCCTTCTCCAGCTCAGTTTATAGACAAGGAAACTGAGGCAAACAGGGTTCAGTGACTTGCCCAGGGACACAGAGCTAGTAAGTGTCTGAGGTCAGATTTGAACTCATGAAGATAGTCTTCCTCACTCTAGGCCCTGCACTCCATCCACTGTACTGTCTAGCTAGAGTTTGATAATTGCTGCTTGAAATCCATACTTTGCTCATTTCTTCTGTTTCAGAAATAGAGGGTCATCAGCACCTGTGCACCTCAATAAACATGTCAAATTTCAGTTTGTATTTTTAGAGATGTGAGACCTTAGGTCTCCCCTAAGGCACTGAGGACAAATTATCAATAGACGTGAAATCCCATAATCAATGGAACATGGCATTGTTTGATTTTTCTATGAATTTATACACACCTTGATTCATAACTAAAAAGTTCTTGTGTGATGGTTAGTCAATGACAAAGCAAGGAAGTTTACTGGGAATCCATAATTCCATCATTTCACTAAGTACTCCTAGAAAGTTCCTGCCCGGGCAATCTTTTGCCATTTAATCAATGAATCAGCAAGGTTCCTTATTGTGACCCTGCTATTGCTAGAGACATCAAGAAGCGCAGTGATCATTGCTGACTTACTTTCCACTATGCTTAGAACATATCCTAGAAAATATCTGCCCCTGGAGCTTTCATGGATGTTCATGATGTACTCCATGAAAACGTGCCCTTAATTAGAGTTTTCTTTTTTTTATTTTAATTTTAAATTTTTATTAATTTATTTATTTTTAGTTTTCAATATTTACTTCCACAAGATTTTGAGTTCTAAATTTTCTCCCCATCTCGTCCCTTCCCCCACCCCAAGATGGCATGCATTCCGAATACCCCTTCCCCTAATCTGCCCTCTCTTCTATCTCCCATCCCCTTTCTCTTATCCCCGTCCCCTTCTATTATCTTATAGGGCAGGATAGATTTCTATACCCCATTGCCTGTATATCTTATTTCCCAGTTGCCTCTGAAAGCAATTTTTTAATATTTGTTTTTAAAATTTTGGGTTCCAAATTTTCTCCCTTCCTCCCTCCCCACCCATCCTCATTGAGAAGGCAAGCAATACAGGTTATACATGTGTAGTCACGCAAAACACCTCCATAGTAGTCATGTTGTGAAAAACCAACCACATTTCCCTTTATCCTGTCCCACCCCCCCATTTTTTCCACTCCCTTCCCTGACTCCATTCCTTCCTCAGAAGTGTCTGCTTCTGATCACCCCCTCCCCCAATATGCTCTCCCCTCTACCATCCCCCTGTTCTCTTATGCCCTTCCCCCTTACCCTCCTGCAGAGTAATTCAGACCTCCATACCCAACTTAGTATGTATGGTATTCCCTCCTCAAGCCAAATCCAATGAGAGCAAGATTCACTCATTCCCTCTCACCTGTTCCCATTTCCCCTTCCACTGTTAAATCCCTTTCCTGTGTGAATAATTTACCCCATTCTACCTCTCCCTCTTTCCCTCTCCCAGCACAATCCTCTATCACCCCTTAATTTTATTCTCCAGATATCACCTCTTCATCCTCAGCCCACTCCAGCCCTCTATCCGTCTATCCATCTATCTATCTATCTATCTATCTATCTATCTATCTATCTACATACATACATACATATAATTTTTTCCCTCCAACTACCCTAATATTGACAAAGGTCTCATGAGTCATAAATATCATCTTTCCATGCAGGAATGTAAACAGTTCAACCTTAATAAGTCCCTTATGATTTCTCTTTTCTGTTTACCCCTTCATGCTTCTCTTGAGTCTTGTATTTGAAAGTCAAATTTTCTATTGAGCTCTATTCTTTTCATCAAGAATGTTTGAAAGTCCTCTATTTCACTGAATGTCTGTCCATTTTTTCCCCTGAAGGATTATACTCAGTTTTGCTGGGTAGGTATAGAGTTTCCTTTGACAGCTCCTTCCATTTCCATAGACATCATCACCTCTCCTAACTCTGACACATGCCAGCCAGATAGCTCTGAATCTCTCAGTGCTCCAGATAACTCTGAAACTAAGTTATATTACCACTACCACTCCAGAAACCTCTCCACAACAAACACAGCCTCTGTTAGCTCCTAAGCTTTTCTGGAGATATTTCAAAGGTACAGTTTAGAACACCAGACATTTATCTATAGTGTCCAGGTTTTGGAAGAAAATAAATTAAGCAGGTAAACTTGGTGAGTCATTCCATCCTAGAAGAATTTGGTCCTATTTTGGAACAATCCCCCCTACCTGTAGATGTATGAAATGTCTTTTAGTGCCCCCTCATACTGTGTCATCCTATATTCAAATAAACTCCCATGCTTTTTTGAAATTTTATTCCCTCTGATTCACTTCATAAGGTTCATATTTGATAGTACATACACCAGAGCCCACTTTAACTCAAAGTTGTCATAAATACATAATAGAATGACCCTGAACATTAAGAATCCATGATATTTCTAGTCCACAGTTTCCCACACATGTTACAGAATTTCAGATTATCACTCCTCCATCATTCTTTCTTCATGGTAGCTAGAGGAGAGTATGGTTAGCAGCTAAGAAAGAGTCATTTTCCAAGATAGAATGTCACTGGTGCTTAGCTACAGAAAAAAAATTAACTGCTTATCAAGAAAAATTCTACTTCCACAGACCAAGTAGAATGTCTGTTTTTACTTTGATCTAGTTGTATAAGTAGGATGAAGTGATGAAGGCTTTTGCCCTAAGGCACCAAAATTTAGAGAAGTTCTGTCAGAAACACTTTCATCTCTTCTGTAGCATAGAAATATCTGAATTAGTTCCTCGTCAGTGAAAAAAAAAGTAGGAAGCTATCATGTCATTGTATAATGACAAAGCTTGGCTGTGGAAAATTGAGAAAGATGTACGTCCCACATTTTTAGGAGCAGGCCAAGGGGCATGAGTGTGGGATGTTACATATACTGGAAGACAGTTGATTTTGCTAAAATCTTTTTTTCTCTTCTTTTTTTATTCTTTGACACAAGGTATTTGTTAGGCAGGAGAGAAAAGAAGAATATATTCAGAATGGAAGGTACTTTAAAACAAAAGATTAAAAAAAAAGAGTGGGTGGGGCAGCTAGGTGACTCAGTGGATAGAGCACTGGCCCTGAAGTCAGGAGGACCTGAGTTCAAATCCAGCCTCAGATCAAGCACTTGACACTTACTAGTTGTGTGACCCTGGGCAACTCACTTAACCCCAGTTGCCTTTAAAAAGAAAAAGAGTGGGGCAGCTAGTGGATAGAGCAGCAGTCCTAGATTTAGGAGGACCTGAGTTCAAATCCAGCCTCATTCACTTAGTAGCTATGTGACCCTTGGCAAGTTACTTAACCCTGATTGCCTCAAAAAAAGAGTTATGAACAAAAATATATGTATATTTTTAAATAGGAGGCTTCTAAATAATGGTTTCCTTCCTTGGTGGCCACATTCTAGGCAAACTTCTCCCCCAACCATGGTTCACCTCCTATCTCTAACACATGCTAGCCAGATAACTCTGAATGTCTCAGTGCTCCAGATAATTCTGAAACTAAGTTATATTAGTCGTCCTTCATAGCTGAATAACTCTTAGGAAGGACACAATGATGACTGGTTATAAACGTTGAGAAGAGCTTTTAGAGGTATTTGGAAAACAAAAAATCAGCCTTTTAATTTTTGGTCAAGTGGGTAGTACTTCTGTTTGAAAACACTCCAGAAACCTCTCCACAATAAACACAGCCTCTGTTAGTGCCAAAGCTTGTCTAGAGATACTTTAAAGGTACAGTCTAGAACACCAGACATTTCTCTATAGTGTCTAGGTTTTGGAAGAAAACCAAATAAGCAGGCAAACTCAGTGAGTCATTCCATCCTAGAAGAATTTGGTCCCATTTTAGAACAGTCCCCCTACCTATAGATGTATGAAATGTCTCATAGGGTCATATTTGCCATCTGAAAAAAAAGAACTTTTTTTTTCTTCTGTATTTTTCTAAACACTGGAGAATATGAAGGTGTTAAACTTTATCTCTGGAAAAACTCAGAACTGGCTTGTTTGGTGTTGTGGAAAGTTTTAATGCTTTCTACACGATTGGTAATCAACTGTTTTATATATTTGTTTTCAATTTTCATTTCTACAAATAAGCACTGTAATTAAAGCTATTAGAAGAAAATCTCTGAACTATTGAAACTATTGAGGACTTCCAGGAGCCAAGATGGTAGAGTGAGCAGTAAATTGCCATAATTCTCTCATATTCATCTCCAAACAATCATAAAGTAGCACCCTGAAACAAATCCTGGAATAGCAGAACCAGCAAAAAGACAGAGTGAAACAATTTCTTCATTCAGGAAACTTGTAAGGTCAGCAGGAAAGGTCTGTCTCACTGGGGTAAAGAGGGAGCATCGTCTGGGATAGGAAGTGTCCCAGCAAGCCCCACCTCAGCC